TTGACGGGTCTGATGTCTCACCTGACATGTGAACCTACGTCATTCAGTTTTGTAGTCAGTGACGTCACAACCGAGATGTTCGGGCCTCCAGCCATTTAACTTCTATCAATATCCACCACAAAGCTGAGCGTCGTAGCTTGGTGGCCACACTGCAAAAGGGGTCGATAGAATTCAGTCAGCATTCAGGACTTGATAGCATATAATTGACTTATCTCTCGTGACGAATCAATGAAAAACACTTCTCCTCGATAGTTGTTACTATGTCTCAACTGTAGCCTGAAACAATTCTCTCCTACACTTAACGGGGTAAATGTTCCGTGATACGAGCATTCAGTAATGTGTTTCAATGAAAATTATATTCTATCAGTTAGACAAATGTGAGGTTCCTTTGATTTGTTAGCAACCACATGACAATATCCAAAACATTCTTTTGTGTGTAACTATTTTTCATTGTAATAGTCAACAGTCTGACTGATTTCTCATGGATAACTTGATTAGTGTAGCAGATACACTCATGGTGATCTCATCGAATGGATATGATGGCTGGAAATCATCAGTTCAAAACTACGACACAAAATCCTGAGATGTTCAAACCGGTCCTATTGGATGTAAAATGGTGCAATAAAACCGGTTTACAAGCCTTTGCAATATGCCAAGAAAAAAACACTATGCTCTTCATCAACTTTGCTGACCGGTATCAACAGCAGTAAGATGTTTGTTGTCATTGCCGTTCGAGTATAAAATATTCGATTGGCCACTGCGAACACATACCAAATTCCGTGTCAATAAGTTACTCATATATGCATAAGGGAATTAGTTGCCAACACGTAAGTGAAGTAATCCTGTAGGTGATAATACAGCAGATCATTTCTGCTTCTTAAAATGTTTCATATGGGATGTAATATCTATCTTTACCAACTAATTCTCCACTAATTAACTGCTAAATCATGATAAAACGCGTATATGAGATCATACCACAAGAAAACATTTCTCGAAAATCATAAAATACTTTAGCACATGACTAAGTAACATTCTTGAAGTGTTTTCAGATCGGTGGCCAGACCGAGACCTGTCACAAGTAGATGAAGTCTCTTACTGTTGGTCTAAGCAATATAGGGAGATGTAGACTGCCTAGTTAGGGTCCCCGAGATGAAAGAAATCAGTGGTTGAGGGTTTTTGGTGAAATGGCTGCAAATCGGTCACAATGACACAGATGGATTCACTCCTTCACATCTCAAGCTTGAATATTTCCACTAACCATTATCTTCAAGTTGGTTATTCTCTCACATAAGTTTATCTATTTTGATATCACTCTTATTCTATCTACCTGTTCTTTTTGTACTACTGTGAAGTATGTCAACTTGAGTCGATCCGCCTGCGTGTGCGGTTCTACGCTGATTTCGATAATCAGTCAGTTAGCTTCTCTAGTGTCTATGATAAATGAAAGAACGATTTTATAGCTGAAATTGGTGTTATAGGGGGAAAAGATTCAAAGAGGAATAAACTGCTTCCATCTATGAAATCAATAAAATAAATTGTGAACAGTTTAACGCCTCCGACAACATCTGTCTTGGGATTTTTCAGCAGTTAGGCGTTATGTTGTACCGATACATATATCGATAGACATAGACAAATGTGGATTTAACTTCAATGAGCTGAACAGTGAGAATTCTCACTGTAAATAAAATTTTCGATGTGTTATATTCAGATCACTAAATGATTAATAGATTTTGTTACCACAGGTTAACGATGTTCATCATCCAGAGAAAGAAGCTGTAGACAAATGGTAGGTAACAGTAATACAGACAATTTTCTGTTCAGTAGGGAAAATGATTAATTATTACTAAAGACAACTCATTTGATCCAATGTTTTTAGAGCCTGAATAAAGTATCCTGTAGAAAAGCAATTGGTTTCAGTTTCGCAATGCAGATTCACAGTTTCGAAGTCAAACTCCGCCTAAAGAACTATAAACTTGTTGAAATGATATGACAAGTTAAGCTTAGTAATTTTCATTGGCCCTCATCTTTTCAGAACTACATTCCGGTCTTATTCCATAAAATTAATTAAATTATTTATTTATTTGTCCCTTAGGTTCTTAGCGGAACATTAGGTTTCAGTAACAAGTCATCATTTAACTCTCTTCTCTGCAGTCTTTTCAACCACGACTACCCACGAGCTTTCATTTCTTTCTCACATGATCTCCTCAATGTCACCCTCAGCTAGGATGCCAAACTCGGCGTTTCCCATTTGAGTTCCACTTGACGGCCTGGTCTGGTCTACCACGTGATGTCCCCAGTCGGTTTGTCCACTCAATGTCCAGTTCAATCCAATCCACCTCCACTTTCTTCTGCATACTTGCTGGGCGATAGGTTGTTGGTTGGTTGGTCCGTTGCTAGTCACACTGACTTCCTTCTTGCTTACTTATTCTTATTATTCTGGTCCTCTTTCTCATCTTCAGTGGCAGCATCAAGTGAGCGTAGACGGCAGGTGTTGATGATGTATGTCTGCAGTTGTTTGTTGTAAATGCTTTTTGTGACGTGCCGACATGTCTTTCAACCATCCCATGGAAGCACTGATGTGACTGACATTGGTGTTTAAAATCCGGATGTTGTTTGTGCTTTATGGTGAGTGGAGTGGAATGCAGTGTAGTGTAGTGCAGTAGATCTGCACACTGATTTCAGATTAATAAAGGCCAGTCTTGATTTTCCGATTCTGGCTTTCACGTCCTCCCCTGTGCCGATGCTGCCTAGGCAGGTAGTTGAAAGAGACAACTTCCTTTACACTTCCTTCTCCCGCTTATGCTGACTGCTGCTCGTTGGTGTTGTTGGTTGGGTATCTTCACCACCTCTGTCTTCTCTACTTTCACCTGAAAGAAGTCGCATCTTTGTTGACTCATCTCTTCTGCCAACTTGTTAGTTTTAGCTTACAGATCATCGAGTTTGTGCGACATTAGACATAAACCATCATCGGCGAAATTCAAATCTTCTAGGGTCTTTTCATCGGTCTGGCCAGCGTATGCCCATCTTCTTGCTCCTCACAGTTTCTTGCATGATGCAGTCGAGTCCAGTTGACCATAATCAGGAAGATCACTAATGCACAGCATATCAGCTGATGTTACTAACGTTCTGGAGGTTTATTCATGTTGATGGTATCAAGCTGAATAAAGTTTCACAATATGAAAAAGTTCATTAGATCTTCAGAGGGTCACAGTCAACACATAAACCCTGGAACGTTAAAATTCGAAAAGCTGCCAATTCAAATACTTCCACAGCCCTGGTTTTCATTACCTTAAAACCAGCCTAACAAGTCAAGACTTTCCTATAAGATCTAATCTAATATGATACTTTGCAAATATCGCCCACTGTTCACACTTTATCATATTTTATTGATACGTCTTACAATAGACAGGCTGTCGTACAGGTGCTTAGGGTTCCCAAAATTACCAACTCAGATCAGTAATCTGATAGGCTTTAAATTCAAAATACTTGACAATATCCATTACATTGGTGTTATATCCATTTACTTACTGGAAAAGGTTCCAGTATTTGAAGCTAACTGTGCTGAATTCTAATATTCAGTGAGAAAAATAGTACAATAATTATGACGTACCCAACCAACGATTCTAAAATTTGATGAAACGTCAGTTATGAACTTCACTGTTAAGTCACCAACAGGACAAATGTCATCATAAATATAAGCGTAAAATTTGTGCACAGTAGTAGAATATAATCCCATTTTTATTGATTTATTAGAAGTATCATATAGTGAAGGAACAGTATTGTTTACTGGATCACGTTTCACACATAATTTATTGTCCATAGTCATATGGAGATAACTACACAACTTTGAGATATCCTTTCTACAGTTAGTCCTAATTTCCTCGACCCCTTTATGATATGCGTAGTAAGATTTTCCACATATCCGGAACAAGTGCTGAGTCATTCCTGTTGTATGTGTTAGATTCAGTTATGATATGACTATCTGAGATAGCCTTAGTTTGGCAGACTAGTATCTGTAGGTGAGATGAAAATCTTGAGCCCAGCCGGATTCGAATCAGCAACCACTGGGTTACCGGCCCGGTGCTGTACCAACTGAGCTACGAGGTCTGACTGCCGAAATTTCGATTGGGATGAGAAGTCCTTATTAGGCAACCAGTGTGAATACCATCAAGTGATAGTATTGCATCATAAATTCATATGGTAATCGGGCAAAACCTTTGGTGATTGAAGTGAAATAAAATTCTGGTCAGCAGTCGGACCTGGTAGCTCGGTTGGTGGAGCACCGGGCAGGTAACCCGGTGGCCGCTGGTTCGAATCCGGCCGCGGTTCAGATTTTCATCTAACTTTCAATCATCACCTAGTACAAAGATTCAGTTATCAATCTCTCCCTCTACTCTGTTATATTAGTTTTAAGAATTTTCAGCCTATCGCATCCTTTTGTATGGTTGTGTGTGATCACATGTATAGCTATGGCTGAGCTGTTTTCTAAATTCCTTACCCTACTAGGATCTACCAATTTTGACCTAGCTAGATTTATATGCTCTGACAGGTGTTAATAGTAATAATAATAATGTTAATGATGATAATAGTGGTAATAATATGAAGAGAATTCAAAACCTCCACAGTATTACGATACAAAGAAGGCACCTCAGAAAAACTGCATAGGATTCTCAATAAGACTGGTTGTGATTACAGTTGCATTTAAACCTACAAACCCACTTGTAGATTAAAAGATCCTATTGATCTAACTAAGCAGACTAACTTAGTTAACCAAATCCCTTGCAATGATTACGAGATCGAATACATAAGTCAGTCAAAGTGATCGACCAGGGTCAGTTAATTAAGCTATCAGAGCATAAAACCCTAGTTAGGTCAAAACTAGTAGATCCTAGTAGGGTAAGGAATTTAGAAAACAGCTCAACCATAGCTATGCATATGATCACACATAACCATACAATAGGATGGGACAGGCTGAAAATTCTTAAAACTAATATACCAGGGTAGAGGGAGAGATTGATAACTGAATCTTTGTTTATTGAATAAACACCTAATACATGCTACCTACATAAATGACTCAATACCTGCTCCGGAGATATAGAAAATCTTACTACGCATATCATAAAGGGGTCGAGGAAATTAGGACTAACTGTATAAAGGATATCTCAAAGTCATGTAGTTACCTCGATATAACTATTGACAATAAATTATGTGTGAAACATAATACAGTAAACAATACTGTTCCTTAACTATATGATACTTCTTATAAATCAATAAAAATGGAATAACATTTACCATCAGCTTAATTATACAATCAACAGTACTAAAGTATATACATAAGAAGATGATGTATCAGAACAGTTTGACCAATTAGAAGAGACATTGATATGAATAAAAAGTAAATTTGAAAATAGCTCTTATCATACTCACCTTTCGAGTTGTTCTTGTTGTTGTTGTTGTTTACACAGATTTACAATCAGTCTAACATCATTCATATTTGATAAAATAAAATAATTTATATAAAAGAAACGAATATACATCATATATCTCAGTTTATTGATTTACATGAACATAAATTTAGAAAAGTAATCTCATTGTCCACATTGATTCATAATGATGTAGCTGATACAAAGTTGCCTTGATTAATCGGTCGTTTAGTTGCCTGTTTTGTTTTAGTGCATATATATATATATATATATATATATATATATATATATATATATACATACATATTAGAAGGAAATAAATAAAATTGGTAAGTAATTTATCCAAGTAAAAAGCTTTAAAAATAACGCGAAACAAATGAACACTGAAAACTCATAATGATAATAACGAATAGTATAATATCATGAAGTCAACTCACTTGTCCCATCCTACTTTGTCTACATATATCTAATGAAGAATGTAGTCCAGGGTTTACCACAAAAGATGTTTTCAAATGTCTCAAATCCCTGAACCCTTCTCATACTTCGTATATACAACATGTGCTGATATTTTATGCTATCAATTAGTTCATATGTTCAATAGATCGTTTTTAGAAAACACCATACCACCTGTCTGGAAAGATATTAAGACAGTCCCTGTACCTAAATAAAGGACTCCAGGAGTATGTAGAAAACCCCCGTCCAGTCGCAGTTACCTCTCCTTCCTTTAAAATAATACCTATACTCAAGCCCTCGCTAAAGCCTTTCGGAGACCCTAATCAGTTTGTATATAAAAGCAGAAGAAGCACTTTGGATGACACCACTCTCTTATATCATAATATTGCTTAAGGTCTTGATAAAAATGCCAAGTATGTCAGGTATGCCTCTTTAGACTATACTTCAGCATTTGATACTGTCTCAAAACCTCTTCTTCTGGATAAGCTAACCGGACAAATACTGAGTCCTGGATAATCAGCTAACGACATTCCTGTTTCTCTAAAAGGAAACAATACACTGTTCACAGAGAGAAGCACCCCACCTCATTATTTACTGTGACTGGTGTTCCTAATAAAGCCGTTCTTTTCCCCCTTTCTTTTCTCTTCCTTTATCAATGACTTACCATCTTCAGCTCGTATCAATTTCATCAGATATACTGGTGACCTAGCAGTCTCCATACCTGTCTCCTCTTCAACGGATTGTTCCCAATCGAATGATTTCCTATCTACTGTCAGACAATGGTCCTATATGAATGGTCTTGTGCTTAGTTCTTCAAAATGTCAAATTATAAACTTTAGTTTTAGATATGAACATAACTTATGTAAACTGTTTAGTTCTCATGATTCCTGTCTGATTGATGGTTATATATTAGAGAATGTTACAAGTGTGATTTATCTCAGAGTGTGTTTTTCTTCGAACTTTTCCTGGTCCTCTCATATCTTATTACTTTCCAGAAGAATTTTCCGCTTAACTTTCGATATGAGAAAGCTGAGAGTATCTGGTATGACTCAGTCTCCCCGCTTGTGTTTTATAAACTCCTGCATCTTGCCTGTTCTTCTCTATTGTTCTCCTTTATTCTTTCCTGGGTTGCTGAAAAAAGACCATGCTATGCTGCTTAGAACTTTGAAGATTGTCAGCAGAACTAGATTGCTGTACCTCTGAACCTTCTAATTAAAACAGTTGTGGACAAACATATTAACTCATATAAACATCTGGTAGGAGTTATTTTATCAGATGACCAACATCCTCTTCACTCGAAGCTCTGTACATGTCGGTCATCTGGAAAGACGAAGCGCAAGTACATAAAACGTTATGCACGTACTACTAAATATAACAACTGTGTCATACCGCATTCAGCTCGTCTCCTGTGTGATGAAGAAGGCATTAGAAACGAACTAACTAATCAACTTCTGTTTTTGAAAGCAAATTAACTGATGATGAGCATGTTACTATTAAGACATTCATCAACAGCTGTCTACGCTCACTCGATACTGAATATCAGATTGTCAGAAAGAATATGCAACAAGGAAATCTGGAAACGAAATAACCAAGAACCTATCGGCCAATAAATATGAAGAAGAAAGTAGATATGGATTGGACATACACTGAGAAAGAAAGCCATTCGGAGAACCCGAAGGAGAAAGGACAAGTTAGGTGTCCGAGGCGAGGGTGACATGAAGGAGATCACATGGGGAAGAAATGAAAGCTTTCGGGGGGATTCGTGGAGCCAGGTTGGGAAGACTGCAAAGAAGAGAGTGAAATGGTGATTTGCTGCTAAAGTCCTATGTTCCACTAGGAACCCAAGGCACAAATAATAATAATAATAATAATAATGTTACTATTAATGTATTATGAATCAAAACTACTGGTGTGATTACCTACCTAAATTAAGTGAACATTTTGAAGAAAGTTGTAGATAGAGTCAATATTCTTAACTTTTTTTTGTATATAATTTATGCTTATTTCATTTTGCTATGTATACATATACACTGTCTCCGTCCAACTGATGCTATATGACGTGTTGAAAATTCTTCAGATTATCCCCAAAATACCTTTCAGAATAAAGCCGTTATTATTATCATTATTAAATTATTAGTATGTTTTACATAGTGATAACATCCAAAATGACCTTCTTAAGGTACCACAACTCCATCTTGTTTGACCTTCAGTAACTGTACTACTTCTATGTTACATCTAAACAATCTTTATTTATGCTATATTCTTACCGGGTTATCATTTACCTATAGATTAGACGAAACCCAGTGGTATTCAATCCCTGCAGATTCATTTAGTAGGCTAACCTTCAAAGATCATTTTGTAGTCAAAGAAATCTTATTTATTGCATCTTTTTTCTGAAGTAGTTCGGTGGAAAGTTACGGAGTAAACATCTCATTCCACAAGTGTTTCAGTGAAATTAGATTTATATTGCAGATCACAGAACACTTTCAAGACAATATAACTTAGTGAAACAATGAATAACCAAAAATACCCCCATCAAACATCCACCCATCCACCCTGTGAAAACAAAAAAAACAAAACTCTTAAATGAAAAGTACAAAGGAATTTTCAGTACTCGAAACAATAAACGAAGTAAAGGTTTTTCCACTGTTTTAGCGAATGTAACCAAGCTAATTAAAATGGAAGTTTGTCGAGAGAAGAAAACTTAAAAGTAGATTTTATATAACTTCAAAAGAAAATTTATAGACCATTGAATTCTGAGTCATGGAATCAGTAGCAACGTCCACGCCAAGAAGTCTGAAGGTTCTGGGTTCGATCCATGGCAGTGTCATCGGTGCGCTCACTAGCACAAATGCACCCACATTTTTAGTGGTTTTCTAACTAATGTCGTTCCAAGAAGAAACCAAGCTTGAAGTCAAAAGACTCTTACAAACCTTCAAAAATAATAAAATGAATCACCTATGCTATTGTTACCCTAGAAGAAGTAAACGCTAGAAAGCTTCATCATAAACATCCTGAATCCACTTCTTGATAAAAATGAACTGTTTGAGGATTTGTAGGGATTTGTTGGTATACATCATGAATTGACGTCAGTTGGAGGAACATTGGAGACCTGAGAGCACTGGATAGATGGGACTCCTTAGCAGTGCGCTCCTGTGACCTCACCTCGAACCCCTGACCTTCAGGTTTCGTGACCAGCACGTTACCATTGGGCCTGTGGGTCAGAATCCAATGGTACATATTTCCTACTTCTGTCATTTCACGACATAGTGCAATTAGCATGAGTACGCACTGCTGAGGAGTCCCATACTTGGATGAAACAGCTGTTCAGTGCTTCCAAGTTTTCAACGTTCCTGCAGTTGATGTCAGTCCATGATGAATATCAACTTGAAGAAAACTGAATTGTTTAAAATGCTCAAACTGAGTTTTGAAGCTGTACTTGTTAAGTGCAAAGAATACCAGGGTATTTGTAACTTAAAAAATGAACAAAAAATACATTTATTTCAAGGTTTTTAGGCATCTTATTTACTTCAAATTTGCATTAATCAGTGACTGACATCCTGGGAAAACTGGACAATTGTTAACGCGTTTACCAAGACACGTGCAGGTCTTGAGATCGATTCCTAACAAGGTCATGAGTGCATACTACTGAGAATTCCCATACTGGGATAGGACAACTGAGTCGTATGTATCTACTTTCAACATCAATAATAACTAATCAGGAACAGTTTAAGCTGGAAATGGCTATAAGTACTAAATAAATATTTAAAAGGTGTGAATAGACTGACCACAATTTACTTGCGATGTATAACTTTTAGATAATAAAGAAATTCAGTCTGATTATGGTGTGCTAAATGTCTCCCCCAATATAAAAAATTATCGACTCTCTCTTGAAGTATGAAAGTCTTGGTTTACTAATCAATGTAATGAATACAATAGGCTGTTAGTTAAAGAAAGTACTCAGGAAAGCAGCAATTTTTTTGAAGTATAAATTGCTTGTGAATGTTAAGGGATTTACGTAAGTGTCTACTTGACACATTATAAAACTTTCGGCGAAGAGTCTCTTCTCGACGATTCCATTTTCAAAGCTGTACAATAGCAAATTTATACATTTTTCCAGTGTACGGATTCGACAGTGTTGTTTCCTGTATTATTCCATAGTTGACTGAACCGAACTGACCAGTCTCTGTTGGCATATGGGCCTTTGTGCGGATGCTTTGATACTGCCTGTATTTTTAACGATATAGTAATGATGGATATTGGCTAGTTATGGAGACCAGGATGCGCGTTTCGTCCTATTTTGGATTCGTCAACTGGATATACCTGCCTCCCAGTGAGTGGTGTTGTTCCCGCCGGGATTCAGACTTGGGATCGAACGCTTCAAATGCCAGGGTGTTATTTACTAGACCACCGAGCCACGATAACCACTTCTTGGGCGATTGGTGCAGTTTTAGTGTTGTCGCTTGTACCCAGCTGACGAGTCCCAAATAGGACAAAACGCGCATCCTGAATTCCACTCCTGGCCACTATCCGTCATTATATGGTTAAAACACAGGTAATATCGAGGCACCTGCGCAGCAGCCCATATACCAATAGTGGGCCGATCAGTTTGGTCCAAAAAAAGATGAGATAATACAAGTAACAACATTAAAACTATACATGTCGCATAAGAAGTTGTTATTGTGGATCGTTGGTCTAGCGAATAACGCTCTAGCGTTTGAAGTCATCAGTTCTGAGTACTAGTTCCGGTCGGAACAAAATCCCTCATTGGGATGCGTCCTTG